AGTGTCACAGTGGTCTGACCCACGCATGGCACGGGTGATGAGGACATTTTTGCGATGTCTTTCTCTAACAATGATGTAGTCAATGAGATGCCAGTGTTTGGATCGTGTCTCTAGTTATCTAGCTTGTAATGGTTCGGTGTGGTTCATAGTTTGCTGTCGTATCCTGGTTCACTCTACTCCATCCTGGTTCACTCTCATCCATCCTGGTTCACTCTGTTCCATCCTAGTTCACTCTGTTCCATCCTGGTTCTCTAGCTTGCTGTAGTGTCCTAGTTTACTCTATTCCATCCTATTGTTGTAGTGTAGTGGTTCACTTAACGAATCTGCTGTAGCTTCCTGTATCACCGTGGTTCATTCTGGTTCATTATTTGTTGTAGATTCTTGTAGCTCACTGGTTCACTTTGCTGAGTTGTAGTGCATGGTTTATTAGTGTGTTATATTGTTATAACTTAACCATCGTCCTTAAAGAGTTATAATTTAAGCCATCGTCATTGAAGGGTTAAATGAGTGATTATTCTGCACGTCATACTCGAGCGCACTTCCACTGGGGTAGCACTTAGGGTGACACCGGAGCACGCTGTTGTATGTCAGACGAACAGCTCAGCAGCACCGGTAATGTTAATGTTGCTTGGCATTATGGCTCTTCATAAGCACCATTAAGTTCAGGCACCACTCAAGCCTCAGGCAACGTGGAAACGGTGGACATCCTGCCTGATTCTGCTGCTCTGCCAGATGCATGGTGCACCGGTTTGCCCACAGGATGGTGCCTACTGGTGTACACAGTGCCTGGATGTACAAGATAGTGCCTACTTGGTGTACACAGTGCCTGGATGTACAAAATGGTACCTACTTGGTGTACACAGTGCCTGGATGTACAAGATAGTGCCTACTTGGTGTACACAGTGCCTGGATGTACAAGATAGTGCCAACTTGGTGTCCATAGTGCCTGGGTGTACAAGATGGTGTCTACTTGGTGTACACAGTGCCTGTATGTACAAGATGGTGCCTCTTAGTGTACAGTGTATCCAGCTGTTGATTCACACCTTGACACACCTCTTAATCATAATGTCAACACCTTTACGTAACAATAACACACCTCATATAATCATAGCCACTATTTCATAGACAAAAACGAAGCCTCTCCAACCTCTCACCAATCTGAACAACAAGATAAACACATAAAACAATCTTAACTAATAATATAACAGAGTCTTTATCAATATACGATGACCTCAAAACGCTAGTGTGGGGAATAGGGTTAAATTGTTCAAATCCTGACTTTTTTTTTCTCCCCTTCGTTGAGTATGTACCGACTGAGCACTTACAAGATCTCCTCGAGTCTATAGTTTCCTGACATCTACTTCTGTATGTATGAGAGACCTTGTACGGTGTGAGATGGTTTCTGTAGTCTGTGTTATGTTATGTAGGTTTATATCCCCCCTCTCTCCCTCCCTCCTTCTCTCCCCTCCTCCTTACTTCCCTCTCGCCCTACCTACTTCCTTGTCTCCCTCTCTTCTTCCCTCCTTCCTATTACCCTCCCTGCCTCCTTCTCTCTTTCACTCCCTCCTACCCACCCAGCCATGTATGTCAATTAAATCACCATCGATTACCTCCCGTCCAGTGTGTGATGTCATGTGAAACTCATCACGCACGCACGCACGCACGCACGCACACAATAATACTAATACTAATAATAACAATAATAATAATAATGGTTGTCTCTCATGCAACGAGGATGGCCGGGCCTAGGGCCACCTAGGCGAAAATTTATTTCAGGTGCAGAAACTGTCGCCAACTATACTGGCTAACCATAACCCCGAAACACGATCCGCAAATCAGTTAACATCCAGGTTCCCTAATACTAATGGGTAGAGAGGGGCAAATGGCGTAAAGAAACTTGCCCATAGTTTCACCCTGCTCGGGGATCGAACCCGGGTCCGTTCGCTTACGAAGCGAGCATGATGACCATTACACCACAGGTCATTGAGACCGTTAACTTAGGGTGTTGTTATTGAGTTGGCGACAGCTTCTAAACATTAAAAAAATCACTCCTCGGTGGCCCTTGGGCCGGCCACCTGCGTTATACAAGGGGGCAACCACAGGCGGGCGGGCGGGCGGGCGGACGGGCGGACGGACGGACGGACGGACACACACCATCTATACATTATCATCTTCCTCCTCGCTTCCATCTTCCGCAGGAGAGGTAAGGTGAGGAGGTTCATTTTCATCACTAAGCCTTTCCATCTCATAGACCATTTACCTTCCAAATTTCATCATAGTCAGCCTCCCTTTAGTACCTCCTAACACAATTCCAAATTTCATCATAGTCAGCCTCCCTTTAGTACCTCCTAACACAATCCTTCCATCTCAACTTAGTCCATATACCTTCCACCTTTCTCATCTTCTCTACCCATTCATTTCATGTCCCCCGCCAGCCTTACCTCCTTCTAACACCGCACATTTCCTTCTCACCTCAGTTTCCTCTCCACTAATCATATCCTTAAGGTCCTGTTCAGTCAGGTCTTCTCCTTTTTTTTCCACCTCTTCACTCCTTGTATTTTGCTCACCAATGTTTCTCTCTCAACTACCTGAAGTGTTCTGTTGGTGTTACTCCGCTTCTGAGGTAGTAGGTGCGGTTATCTGTGTCATAGAAGGAGGCGAGAGTAGCATGCATACATACAGCTGATCAATATATCACCTCTCAGATTATCTCCCATCTTCCCATCCTCCATAACTCCTACTTGTCTCCTCCTCTGTGATAAAGATTCTCCTTGTACTGTTCTACACATAAAAAGTTGTTATTTTGTTTTAATCTCTTCCTTTCCACCTGTATGTTGCTACTCTACCTGTTTCTCCTGAGGCTGTTATCTCATGCACCGTCAATACTACTGTTGGTCATCCTTATACAATTTCTAAGGTGTTTTACTCTACTCGGGTTTTCTCAAGTCAGCACATAAATCTAATACACAACAAAAGACTCCTCATTCTGCCCAACCTCAGGCCAAACACATTTGTTTCCTATACGATCCGTCAACCATTTTCCTTCACCCTCAGTCACTCCTTCCCATTTCACTACAACAAAAACTAAATTGTATTGGTACTGTACCAAAAACCTTTTCCAAGTCAACAAACCCTACAACGTTCCTCTTGTATTTATCAACAATATACTGATTATATAATGAATATGTATTTGTGAATAGCACTCATGTAAGTAACACTCACTGTATTCCCCGTGGGCCTCACAACACAACAAACACCACCATTGTTTCACGGTTTTTATTTCCTGTTGAATTTTTATTTTGCTTTCCATTGTGTTGAATAATACGACTACAGATGCTCATTGACCCACGACACACTAACTAACAATTAATGTTGGAAATGCCTGGACATGTTTTGATATTCATTTTTTCCTATTAATGAGTTTGCATGAATAAGAGCAAAATACCGCACAGGTAAACATGTGTTAATTAAGTTTACCTCGACCGTGCCATCGCGTCATGCCTTCAGCCACCAGAAAATTTTCTGGAGGTAATAAGAACAACCAGCACCAGGACTCCTTCACACCCCTAACACAGCTCATCCTCAGGCAGAAGGTAAACTTATTGATCTTAAAAAAATGAACGATAGCTCCACAAATCTCGATGCCCAGAGTAGCAGCTCCTTTTTGACAATAGAAGCCTCACCCAGTTCAACATCAAACCCGTCGTCATGGCAGCCGTTAGAAATGTCCACGCCAAGTGTCCACTTTCAAGAGTGTAACAGTTTATAAGGACATATACCTACAAGTCTTCCAGTATAGTACAATAAAGACTGTAGTTACTGACCGCTATACACACGTGACCAGTCGGGGTGAGTAATATGGTTTGTCATTTGTGCTATCTTATTACCAAATGATATATAACCATTAATGTATTTTATTACCACATGATATAATATACCAAGTGTTGCTATGGTGTGCGGCTGCTTCCGTATCTGACCTTATCGGCTACTTTATGGTAATTGTAGGAAAAGTTTGCTTAAAACATTTAAACATTTTCACTGGGAAGCTATTTTCTCCTTTAAGGGAAAGTTAGAGGGAAGGAGGAGACTGGGAATACTTGGGAGGGAAGTTTGGTCTAAGTACTATACAACTTGTGCTCTTAACAAGATTTACTCACGAAGTTACCTGATATAGTTGACACTGTCACGGTTGTATAGTGGTGCAGTGACTTCCGGAGGCCTGCACCATACCAGGACAGTGGTACAGTGACGCCTGAAGGCCTGCACTATACCAGAACAGTGATACAGTGACGCCTGAAGGCCTGCAACATACCAGAACAGTGAAACAGTGACGCCTGGAGGCCTGCACTATACCAGAACAGTGATACAGTGACGCTCTCGAGGCCTACAACATACCAGAACAGTGATACAGTGAAGATTGGAGGCCTACACCATACCAGAACAGTGATACAGTGAAGATTGGAGGCCTACACCATACCAGAACAGTGATACAGTGACGCCCGGAGGCCTGCACTATACCAGAACAGTGATACAGTGACGCTCTCGAGGCCTACAACATACCAGAACAGTGATACAGTGACGCCCGGAGGCCTGCACTATACCAGAACAGTGATACAGTGACGCCCGGAGGCCTACAACATACCAGAACAGTGATACAGTGAAGAATGGAGGCCTATACCATACCAGAACAGTGATACAGTGACGTACACCATACCAGAACAGTGATACAGTGACGCCCGGAGGCCTGCACCATACCAGAACAATGATACAGTGACGCACGCCAGAGGTCTGCATCATACCAGAACAGTGATACAGTGACGTCCGGAGGCCTACATCATACCAGAACAGTGATACAGTGACGCCCGGAGGCCTACACCATACCAGAACAGTGATACAGTGAAAATTGGAGGCCTACACCATACCAGAACAGTGATACAGTGACGCCCGGAGGCCTGCACCATACCAGAACAATGATACAGTGACGCACGCCAGGAGGTCTGCATCATACCAGAGCAGTGATACAGTGAAGCTTGGAGGCCTGCACCATACCAGAACAGTGAAGCTTGGAGGCCTACACCATTCCAGAACAGTGATACAGTGACGCCCGGAGGCCTACATCATACCAGAACAGTGATACAGTGACGCCCGGAGGCCTACACCATACCAGAACAGTAATACAGTGAGTAGTATAACACTTTTACAACACCAGGGCAGTGCTACAACGGTACACTGGGTAGAATAATACCTTTAAAAACAGAACAATGTTACACTGGTATAGGAATGGTCACTGTACGATTATTTTCAGTCTCTTAAACAAGAAAAAATCACCCATTTAATTCAACAAATTTACTGATGGTATTAAGCAAGTGACCCGTGACTAAGACTAACCAGTAAACAACGAGAAATAATCTCATTAAAGCTCAGAGATAATCGATAGTTTTTTGTCTGGGGAATAATATGACACTTGTACTGTATCTGTTACCAGATGTGACACTTGTACTATAACCTGGCGCCAGATGTGACATTCTTGAACTTGGGTATAAAAGTATTAGTAACGGAGACAGAATAAAGGAAAACAAGAAGAGAGAGAGAGAGAGATACGGGAATAAAATAGTAATGAAAAGGAGAAAGTGACATAAGACCATAAAGAAAAGAAAACAGAAAAAAGAAAGAGAATAACGGAAAGGTAAGTGTGCGTGTGTGTGTGTGTGTGTGTGTGCGTGTGTGTGTGTGTGTGCGTGTGAGTGTGTGTGTGTGTGTGTGTGTGTGCGTGTGTGTGTGTGTGTGTGTGCGTGTGCGTGTGTGTGTGTGTGTGTGTGTGTGTGTGTGTGTGTGTGTGAGTAAAAATTCAGAAATTTGACGGTCAAAAATTGTATTAAACGCATAAAAAAAAAAATAGTGTGTGGAGCGGACAGGATTAAAAAAGAAAAGAAAAAGGAAATTTCCCCCACAAAAGAATTGCGTTATCCTGTAAAAACCTTTCATAGTACGTATATATATATATTCAAGTTTTATAAAGAAATTAACCTTCAGTGAAAAAAGACAACAACAAAACAATACATACTAAAAAAAAATGTACAGTATATTTTTTCCTGGGGAGTTTTGTTTTGACTCCATCTCTAATTAACTCACCTGAGGTTTCTTGGAGTGTTACCACATAGTCCACACCTCAATTATGGTCTTGCTTTCATAATGCCTTAATGTGCTTCGTCAAATAAATTCTGACACTGACAAGGAAAAATGAAAATACTTATTTCCAACTCAGCGCCAGGTGTCGTTCATAATGTATAATGTGAGGGAATGTGAATAACAAAGGATTGGTGAATTTATAACTCTCTCTAGTGTTAAAAGAAATACTATAACGATACAATTTTAACAAGGAAGTAAGCCTTTGCATAATAGCTTTATGGTGTGTATGTGTGTGTGTTTGTATGCATGTGCGAGATGATGTAATGTTTGTATACATATGTAAAATGATGTGTCAATAAGCATAGTTTGTGGGTAGGGTTGTTTGAGTGCGATACTTGTGTGTTCACTGTACTGTATTGAAAAGTGCGTATTTTACTGGCGTGTATACAATATACAAGAAAGTGTTCACTCTATCGATGTGTATTCACTGTACGGTTGCGGACAAGAGTTCGCTTCCCGTGGTGAAACTGAGTCACGGAAATGCAGTTTTATCTCACTTGGGATCGATACTGCTTCATTCTGGGAGGGAGCGAACTTTTCACCTCAACTGTATACTGTGTACCGGGGGTCAAAAATTCGCTCCCACCCAAACTAAAGCAGTGCCGACCCCAAGTGAGAAAAAACAACACACTCGCACCAAATGACAGTCAGGGTAGGTTAGTTAGAAGACTCAGTCCTGTGGCTCAGTTTCACCTCAGGGAGCGACCTTTTATCCGCGACTGTACATGCAATTTCACCATACTGACAAATGACTATAGTACCCGCGTGCGTTTTCATCATCACCACGGGGTCCCTTGTTGACTACCTCACTAATTCAGGGTCACATCCTCAACTGACAAAATACTGCATAACCGAGGAGAGTCTGTCCTATTCCCTCACCTTCAAACTCTACTGTATGTATTGACAAAACCCTTGGCCAGAGAACAGAACAACACCAGAAAAAGTTTTATATATTCAGAAATGTTGATCTTGAGTGTGTGTGTGTCTGTGTGTGTGTTGTGGTGTAGGTGTGGTGGTGTGGTGATGGTAATGTCGTGGTGTAAGTATGATAGTGATGTGGTGATGTTGTGGTGGTGGTTGTGTTGTAGTGGGGATGGTGATGTTGCGTTGGGGGTTAGGTGGTAATGTTGTCGTGATGGTAGTGATGACGGTAACAGTATTACTATGGTGGTGGTGTGGTGGTGACAGTATTGTGGTGCAGGTGTGATGGTGATAAAATGATGAAGGTAGTGCTGTGGTGTAGATATCATGGTGATGTGATGATGATGATGATGATGATAGTTTTGTATTGGTGGTGATGTGGCAACAGTACTATTATAGTATTGTTGCGGTGATGATGGTAGTGTTGCAGTGGTGGAGGTGGTGAGGTGGCCACAATAATAATGTGGTAATAATAAGTTAAAATCACACCAAGACATCACCAAGTTAAGGTTAATTGTCCCTAAAATTACAATGAAAGAATATAATGATTTTTACACACGAATAAACAGGTAGGAAAAAATTATCTCCAATAAGTAAATTCAACAATACCTATATAGTAGTAGGGTGTGTCATAGGAGGGAAGATCAGCTAAAACTAATGGCCCATCACTTTTTTGGTAGATTTTAGTGTATATAAACAGAAAATAATTTCAGTTTCAATATTTTGCAACCTTTTGCTAGGTTAATTTTAGGGTGAAATTTATCGAAAATCTAACGTACAGCTGCATTAGTGCATTACAATTAAATAGTGAACATTGCTTTCTGACTTCATTCTTTAACAACCCAACTAACAATATTTTTTTCTGTTTCAGATTCTGATGCATTTATAAGTTGATAATATTTGCGATGGCTGCTTGTGTCAGGACGAGGAACCAAAAATCAAGCCATCTCAGTCACTATCTTGGGTCTGGGAGAGAGCTACTGAAGTAGGAGTTGCCTACATTGAGAGATGCTTTGAGATACGGTGTTTTAATCAAGCAAATCAGTGAAAAGAACCAAAGAACTTACACAAACAAAGACATTGCCAGTGATATGACCAAAGCTGTCTTGGCACAGTACACTCTGGCTAACGCTCAGTTCAAGCCTCCAGTCATAACAAGTCAGAAGAAGATTAGTGAGAGACTGCTAGCCAGTTGGGAAAAGGCAAGAGATATCTCTCTTGGGAGAGGAAAACTTGCAGTTAAGGACAGCTTTGCCAAGCAACTGGACCAGTTATTTGACATAATTACTTGCAAGTGCCCAATTGTTCTCTGTCCTGAGTTTGGATGCGATCGTGACTGTAAATCCGAGGCCCAAATCTCCTGTATTTGCAAGCGTGAACTGAAGATTCCTGTGATCGAACTGGCATTGTCAAAGCACAGAGAAGACTGGCAGTATAGGGCTCTCATGATTTCTAGCCATATTCGGAGTCAAGAGACAGGAGG